GGCTGTCTCCCACGCGATCATTCTATAATGGGTTCGTGTCAAGTGCCCGACTATTGAATAAAATCAGCTTTGATTTTTAAAATGACACAACTGTTGAAATTTCAGTTTTCAGTACCTGTTTCAATACTTGCAATTCACAGACGCGCGAAGGACGCGCCAATCCCGCCATTTTGGCTGTTCACATTGAGGCTAAGGTCACGCGCGTTGCCGGCACGTTTTCCTCGCATGTGAATCCAAGAGAGTCTGAAGCCATTAGAGCCAATTAAGTCAGCGTAGTACAGGGGTTTCCTCAGGTCGAAGAGCACTCTACTGCCAAATACCACAGGAAACATAGGTTGCCTCGTGTGAGGTGATTGTATAAAATCATATTTTTCCATGATGAAAAATGGATTTGTCCACTTGTGGGGACACAGTACTGACGCGCTTGAGAATGCTTCCAAACGTAAATTCATACGATGGAGAGTTCATCATGGACGAGTGCGTTCCTAGCCACTTCCTTCGTTCCGCTAGATTGATTTCCGCAACGTTTTGCTCAGGACAGCGGGAGCGACCGTCTGTCGCTTGGAAGCCTTGCGAACTGCTTGCTGTTTTGGATATGAGACTTTAGCCCCAGGAGGCGTCAGCGGTAATCACTTCGCTACCCATGAGGCTGAAGTCTCATACTAATAGCATCAAGCAGCGTAGCAGGAACACTGTCATCTTGCCATCGGGCATTTGTCTAAAAGTCCTGTTTAGTGGCTAGGTGCAACAGTGATCTTTGTGAAATGCTTCGTAGTGAGGTCCTCTTTGTAGCAAATGATCAATTCGTATTCTCTAACATCGTAGGGAGTTCTAAATGCACTGTAGCAGTGATGTTCCTTAGTGTCGATGCTTTGTGGAACGATTATGAAAGGGTTGATGAAAAAATAGTTCGTGGAGAACCTGTGCCCTATTTAAAATGGCATGGGCACTTCGTAGCTGCATTTGCAGCGCCAATCACCCTTTAGGCCCCTCTCGTGCTTTCAGGGGCAGACCTGCAGAGACTGAAACTGGGGCCTTTTAAATTTAGTCTAATAAAACATAGGCGAGTCAGCTTGGTGGCTGGTACCTCTTTACCATGAAGACCTCGGACGTCGCCTAGTAGTGTACTGACTACTGAGACTAGGCGGCTTAATTCCCGACCGATAGCTTAGTTGATGCCGGTAAGCTGCTCTTCCTCGCGGTGATGCTGGTTCTCTTGATGAGGATGCGCAAAATGGTAGTCATGGTGATAATGAGCTGGGCCACCGTGGTTCTGGTGGCCGTTGTGTTGAGCGTGTTGATGTTGAGGCACATGAACAGTATGTTCATGATGATGATGGTGAGGATGGTGGGGATGATGGTCGGAATGAGGATGAGGATGTTGATGGGGATGAGGATAATGGTGGGGATGATGTTCGGGATGAGGATGAGGATGTTGATGGGGATGAAGATGAGGATGATGATGAGGATGAGAATGATGGGGATGAGGGTGAGGATAATTTGGCTGAGGATGCGGATAATGGGGATGAGGATGGAGGTGAAAGTGGTAAGTTGTCTGGGGACTAGGAGGGGTTGGGTATATGTTGGGTTGAACGACTTTGGCAAGTTTGGCGGAGACAAGCCCGCTCAGTGGGAAAAAGAGACGTGGGTCGGCGTTTGCATCTTGCTGGATCGCAATAATCGCTTCTGGATCGATTTCAACTGCAAGCTGAGAAGGATACTCAGGTGCTTCGTCTGCAGCAACGGCTGCGCAGGCTGTGAAACCAACGAGGGTGGTTAGGATAGCCCTCATCTTCAAACTTGTTCTTGTAGCCTCAGTAAATGATTATGAAGTAAAATATTGTGATAGCCTTTAATTTTATTTTGGGGTCCTGTTAGTGAAGGTTTCAGAACACGATTTCGGAGGGACGCGAGGTGGTCAGGCTGTTCAA